ATAATAATAATAATAATAATAATAATAATAATATGTAGGTACACTGTGCGGCGGCGGTGAAAGGACGACTGTCGACTACTTATGTGCCATATTATTGCCACCGCCGCGGCGTAGCTATACGGTAATAATTACCGCTCGGGACCGACTGCACTGACCCGAGAGCCGGTCTTCGACTGTCGAACGCCAACTTTGAATCCCGACGGATCTCCTCCGTGTTTTTTACGCGACCGTGTGTGCGCGTGTAGGTCAGTGATGTGCCGCGTCCGAATGGCTCGTTATCATCGGAGGGAACCGTTACCGTTCGAATGCTAATCGCCGCCGAGTTCGTGACATCAGTTCGACCATTTTCGTATACCTTGTTCGTTGAGATTTTTTCGTCGTCCTTGTTATTGTGTAGCGATACATTTTTGTGGTCGATAAGTCCGTGATCATTTTCGTGGACTGAGTGCAATAATAATTGAGGAAACGACAGACTAGATCCGGCGGACGTCATAATCATGAGGATTCTGCCGTACGTGTTCCTCCTGCTCATGGGTGAGTTGTTAGCTGCATAGTGCATATAAATATTATCATTACACTTAACAAACGAGTGTTACAGCCTATAATCATTAAACGTCCGTGTACATTATTGTGGATTCACTATGACAGTGATCGTTTAGGTTTTACCTATGCACAAGCTTTCCGAAAAGTATAATAATATGTACAACGTACCTATATTATATACTATTCTATAAATATATATTTATTATTTTTTCTAAAAAAATGTTATTGGTTTATTAGAACATGATAAATTGAATCTCATAAAGGTTTATTTAAAAGGTTATTTTTAGATTTTCTCAATAATATAGAAGGAACAACCTACAGTGGTCGAATACTTTTGAACAAATACCATCGAGCGATGGTTTCAAAAATTGTTTAAAATTTAATGAGATATTTAATGATTTTACTTTTTAAGATTACAAATTTACAATACACCAATAGTTATACACTGAGCTCCAGTGTTGTTCGAAAATAGAATAGAGTAACTACCAACACTTAACATCTATATCAAAACAGTTTTTTTTTACTTTGATGAACATTTTAATTTTTAAGATGTCATAGAACATTAATTGAATGAACACATGAAGAACATTTTTAATTATTTTTTTTATGTTACAGATTGGAAAAATTGTATATCCCACAAATTAGCAAGTAACAAACTAATCTAGTGCAACAGAACCACGAAATATATTATAGCGTGTGTGTTTGTATAATTATACAGTATATCCAGACAATATTTGGAAAAAAAATTAATCTAGTGAATAACACGTCATATTAGAAACTGCAATATACATTTACCACACATTATTCAGAACGGTTTTAGTGAGGCAACCCATCAAATGACTTTACACTATTTACCAGTATACATTTTTTTTAGAACAATTTAATTTCCATTATTGTGCAATTTGAATATTATTCAATACAAAAAGTATTCATATTTCAAAAAGTAGTTCGTTGTAAATACAATGTTGGATACAATTCGGCTTAAGTTGTTTCCAGCTGAAAAATATTCTCTCTCATAGAAAATATATTTCTATTTAAATTAAAACACATTTTGAGTAATTTTTTTAATTAACTAGTGTATAGAGTATACATATAGATATTAGGTACTAGTTAAAATATTTAAATATATTTACAAATTATCTGCAGTAATTGTATTTGCGTAAATTAAAAATATATTTACTTAACAACGGTCAATAGGTAATTAGGTTAATTAATAGATAATTAATTTATAAATGCTAATTTCATTTATATGCACAATAGAATATATAAGTAGGTATCCATATAAAATAATTTAATTGTTTTACAATTATAAAATATTAGACAAAAGTTCTAATTATTGGATATTTGTATACGATGATACTAACTTATGACGTACCAATATACGTATTTCTAAACTATTCTCAAATAAGAAAAAGAAAGAAATTATCTAAATTCATTGTAATTTACATATGATGTTCACAGACATAATAATTGTTATAACTTAAGTTCTAATTAATAGTTCAATTCATAAGCACAAAAACAAAAATATTTGATAATGATAAAGGGCACAAAATTTAAAATGTTGGCTAATAGGAATAAAAAATGATACTTTCGCTCAAATTAAAAATATGAAAACTAGCATTAAGATATTTTATTAATTTTGAATATAGTAGTAAAAGAATTGTGTTGTAATGGATATGTTAAATTTGAATTCAATAACATAAAACCATTGTAAGTACTATACACTAAATTATTTTAAAAGAAGACGGTCTATGTCAGCCTTTATGACAAAGTAAATTTTATGATATTATTGTAATTTATTTTACAGTCTGTTGTCATTTAGAAATTGTTTAAGTAAGGTAATGCTTATAGTGTATGCTTAATTTTTTTTACTTAAAACCCTAGTTGTTATGAGAGGTAAAAATATGAAAAATCAAACTGATAGTTTTTTACTTTTAACCATTTTAATTAATTCTATATTGCAACATTTCTACGATACGTTATTAATAATTATTATGTTCGCACTCAAAAATACCGAATTTTTTTAATATACTACTGAAGAAACACAAAATATATATTTTTATTCGTTTCCTATAATTTAATTTTAAGTCTACCGATGTAGATGCTCATAATGTATAATTATTTTAAACTGTATAGGTATTCAATTATTAACCTACATTATGGTATATTATATCAGTTGGTAAAAAAAAATGGCATACATTATTATTATTACTTTTTTAATTTTACTTTCGATGGTGAATCTTAGCAATTCATTTTACGCAGTTAATAGCTACGGTGTCCGAAACAATTGGTTTGAGAAATGGTAAAACGACTACCGTTTGATGTCACCGATAAATAATAGCTGTCCTTTATTACCATACACGTGCGTATTGCGGTAGGTACCCACTCAATGCCCGAGGGAACGGCCGAAATCAAAATCTATTGTTCGGACTTTTACTCACTGCGAATCGATTTATACATGTATTGCACATTATGAATGTACGTATAATAAATTATTAGAAACAAACGTTATACGGATGGCGGATCTCAGCTGTGAACCTAACCTGGAGAGGAGTGGGCCAAACATAAAACTAGTGCGGCACTCGTTATAAAAATACTACGACGATATGGCTGTTGTTTGGGATGAGTCGTGAAAATATTGTTTCAGTTTTCATAGATTCTCGCTTCTGCACTGACATTGCCAACATTAATTTCTTACAATAGCTGTCATTTGAATAATAATAATAATAATAATAGAATCTCGTAATCGACAATAGGTCGTATAGATACCTACTGAAATCGAATTGAATAGAACCATACGAAAATACAAACAGACGCACGACAAGTAATAAAAACTGTTGATGGGCATGTCCGAATCACGTGCTCCCTATATGCACGACGTGATCACCGAACCTTAAGATATTATTGAAGTTACTATTGATAAATTATGTTGTGGACGATTTCCAATATTGTGAAAGTGTTCTCACCGTAGGTACCCACTGATTTTTGACAAAAATCTAATCTCATATATATTGCTCGTGGACGCAAATAAAATGCATACACAGCTACGCCATAATGTCGACAAACTTTTTCCGAACAATAATTATTGAACTAGCTGGTTAGGTATAGCTTATAGGTCAGTTTGTTGACTTTTTGTACGGCGCGTCATAAAATAAAATTCCGAAAATCCATCTGTACTGAATGGTTATCGAAACACCTAACATTTTTGAAATTATTTCAACCGTAAAAAAGCAACCGAGTTAGTCACGAAAAAAAAAATTATATCTGAGTAAAAAAAACAATGTGCCCTTTTACTTCAGAAATTCAATATCGTCCGTGGGGTACCTGCAGCTAAGAATCTTAAACCACTGACCTGGATATAATGCCTTGTCTTTGTTTTCGTCGAGCTAATCTCGATTCTTGTAGTATAATTAGTATGAGAGGCTAAGTTAATTTATTTAATAAGTATAAAAAAAAATTATGTTTTTGTGATATTTCAAACCCACTTCTGCAGACCCTTTGACTTTAACAATAATTATATTCATGTATTATAAATATTTTTTTGTCATACCCTCAAGATAAGCCTTAATAATAACATGAGTGCACATCTTAGAGTATTTGCCTAATCAAAATTGGAAGACGACCATATTATGCAACAACATTATACTAATTTGACCAGAAGAATGACACACAAATTAATGCGTTAGGTACAATAAATATCGAGTTTGGACCATATTTTCAAAAGTTCACCTATAGTAAATAATTATATGTAATTATCTGAAAATAATCAAGCTAGATTTATAAAAATGTATTTCTCTGTATCTCGTAAACCGACCCAGTCTCATAATATGATGAATTCGGTACACCGATTTAAATTTAAAATATTATGTTTTTGTTAAAAAAAAATTGTATGTTGAAGTAGATATTTCAAATTGTACAATAGCTTACATTTTATTAACTAACTAACCGACTTAATTAAGTTAATAATTTCATTCTAACTTACCCCATTGATTAACCCATTAGTTTATTTTCAAACCACTCTATTACATGTTATACTATTGTCTACTATAATTTTTCATACTATAGTCTTTAATAAATATACCTTTATAACAGTACATAATTTAATCATAAACATAACACCATTACAATATTGTATTTATTAATTGCAAGAGTAATTGTTTGACAAGGTGTACCTACTGAAATAAAAAAATAAAAGTATCGTACCTGTACGAAGTATTAGGAGTATTAGTATTTAGTACTATTAGAAGTATATTATCTTAAATTATTGTACTATTTTAGACTCCAATGTTATCATGCAAATTACATTATTTAAAAATTCAAATATATTATTATTTAATCCTAAGTTTAAGCATAATACATTTGGATGCACTATTTCAAGTCGTGTGAAATTATCTGTACTTTATCTGTTGTAGATAATTATTGTTGAGCTGTAATAACACTTTGTTAAAAGTTGACTTAATTTTAACACCGATTAATTTAATAATATTACTATAGATCGAATGTAAGCAAATAAGTATATGCGGATACATTAAGAACTGTATATTTTATTATTTTATATGGTAAAAAATATAGGTACCACTTAAATAATATGTGTCGGCTTCGATTACTATACAGACAATGAATATGCATAAATAAATTATGTTATAGCATTAAAAACAAATACTTTATAGTTCATTATATAATATAAGATACATTGACTGAATTAATTAATTTCTAAATTATATTATCTATTGTGTTTTCTTGTATTTTTTTTGTATATTTGCGTTTTTAAATCAAGCTCATCATGGTTAATAAACGTGTGCACCACGATCGCTTTATTATGTTATAATCCTAGGAATTTCCCTAGTGAAATTAAAATGTGTATTCTAATTACTAATTAGTTATATACTTATTTTTTCTCAAATATTATGGAATCATTTTCTCTCTAAATATACCCTATTTTGACCCCGGCGGCCGTCATTCGTTATTTTATAATTTTTATATATTACTAC